AATTTGACTTTACGTAAAAACTACCCTCACTGCTACATATTTTTTATAGAAAAGTTTTGCAAGTTCAATGGCGACTGATTTTTTTGGCGTAAATCCGTCCTTCTGTACGCAGATACCATTGTAAAAAACGTCACTTAGCATTGTTTATTGAGAAAACAAAATGTTTTCCGCATATGACCTCCAAAAATGATTTCTTGTCACATCCAGCGTTAAAATCTCATCATCATCATCATCATCACGCAGCACCCTTTCACGTCCATAGTTGAACATAGGCCTCCTCCAAACGTCTCCAGTTCTCGCGGTTTTTAGCTGTTGCAATCCAGTTAGTTGTTATTCGTTTCAGGTCGTCGGTCCATCGGGTGGGAGGTCTGCCTTGGCTACGCTTGTCGGCTCTTGTCTACATTCAATGGTCTCCACTCTAGTCTTTTTTTCCATCTCCCGTCTGCCATTCTAGCAATGTGTCCAGCCCATCTCCACTTTTGTTTTGTGATTCGCTGGATAATGTCATCCACTCCCGTACGTCGGCGTATCTCTTCATTTCTTACTCGATCTCTCAAAGTCAGGCCAATCATAGATCTCTCCATCCGCCTCTGTGTCACTTTCAATTTTTCTGCGGTTGCTTTAATGGTTAAATGCCTTTCTTTTCAGGTGTATTGGGATATTTGCTCTAAAGATGTCCCTCATTTTTCCGTAAGCCGCCCATCCCAAGGTAATTCGTCTAGCCAGTTCACAGGTTTGGTTATCTCTGCTTATTTTGATCTCATGGCCCAAGTATACATATTAGTAGTTAAAATCTAGTGGGCGATAATAAACTAGTTGGCGAAAATTTGAAATCTTTGTATGAAATATTATGTCAATGTCACAAATAATAATGTTTGTCAATGAGCTCCACAAATTTTACATTAATTAAAGTTTGAGTTTATTTTTGATTATAGCCCTCTAACGCACAAAGAAAGCGCTTTTAGGCCAGGGCAGTTAGGTAAAATAATGGCCGTTAGGAGAAGTTTTTGCAATCAAGCTAATTTTTTCACAGATGATAGTACCCATCAATAGTACTCTGTAAAAAAAAGTTACACCTACTAGGAAGCTTGCTTTTTCCGCCATGTTTAATTAAAGATGGCCGACACAATATTTTTTTAAATACTGTAACTTTCTTATTTTTTAACCGATTTACCTCAAACAAACTCCATATTAAGGAGGAAGCTAAGACTATTTTTATAAAAAAGTTTGTCAAAAAGTCGTATACAGGGCGAGAAAAATAAATAAAAACCGATTTTTTTTATTTTCGGGAATTTTTTAAAATACATGATAATGCAAAAAAAGATAAAAATGCTATTAATATTCATATTTTAACGCACTTTACACGTTTCAGGTGAAAAAAGTACAAAAAATTGAAAAATTCGAAAATCGATTTTTTTTAAAGGGGTGTACCTACTCAGGAAATCGACAATTGAAAACTTTTATTCGAAATATCTCAAAGCTATTCGTTTTAGATGGGTTCATTCACAGTTTGAATGGGACAATTGTAGGGCTCCACAAGCTCTATCCACACAGGGGTCAACCATCATTTTACAATTTATCATTTTCGAGATTTTTAGGATTTTTAGATTTTGCAAATTTTTGACTTTGGATCGATTTCTACAACACTCTGTACAATATTAAAAAGTAAAAAAAATCGCGTTAATGAGCACCACCTATGCTCTATCTAACAATGTATAACTAATTACAGACAAATGAAGGATATGGGAGATATTTAAAAAAAAAGGGCTAAAAAGGAAAATTTCCAAAAAGATTTGAAGCCAAAATTGAACTTTGAGAACACAAGGTTTGGGATCTAATTTTGATTTGGCAAATCTTCCTCCCACAGAAGACTCCAGTAATCAACACGTTTTTAGAGTATATTTACAGGTACAAGGAGAGGAAACAAGTTAGATCCACATAAGTGGGGGTGGTTTGCCAGTGGCAATGAGCTTTTCCCAGTGACTTACACCAAACCTCCAGGGCCCGAAAACCTATAATGGCAACTTCTTTTTGCAAATGCAAAGATCTTTGCACAGCAAACTGTGTTTGTGCTTCTTATAATCGGAAATGCAGCATTTTGTGTAAAGAATGCAATCAAGCCTGTCTAAAGCACCCAGAGTCGATTATGAAGAAGTGGAAATAGATGATGGTGACGTGTAAATACAAATGTGAAAAAGTTATTATTATGTGTTTGTAGTTCAAAGCTATTAAAAGTTGAATTTATACTTTTCTGTTGGAATAACAAGAGTTTATTATTATCTATTATTAAGAATAACAATTTTTTCTTTTCTTTTTAATTTATTTTTAATGTTTTTTTTAATTCATGTGTTTAACCTAAAACCAAAAGCAACTGTGTTTATTTTATGTCAATCAAGCAAAAAATAAAGTATTTTTATATCCTGCATAAAGTTTTATTTTTGTTTGTATCCTTAAGGATACACTATACTCTATATCTCCCGCACTACTCAACCTATCATAAACTCAAGGACTGTTTCAAAATCAGAACAAAAGAGCGCATATTCATTAACCTTTTTTGCTACGGAGTACAGTTCAAAAAAAAATTGAAGAAAAGCAAGTCGATTTCTTTTATTATTTTCCCTTTTTTTATTTTTGACAGAAAAACAACCTGTCAAAATAGTTTTGTATTCTTATTTCATTCTTTAGCCCAAAATAAAGGTAATGATTTTTACTTGACGAAAATCGGTTAATAAATAAGAAAGTTACGATTTTTTAAAGAATAGGATCAGACACCATTTTTAATTCAACATGGCGGAGGAAGCAAGCGCTCTAGGAGGTGTAACTTTTTTTACAGAGTACTGTTAATGAGTACTATCATCTGTGAAAAAATCAGCTTGATTGCAAAAACTTCCCTTATTTTTGTTAACTGCCCTGGCGTATTTTGTATAGAGGTTGTGAATATGTCCAATTAACTTATTTTGATTACAAAAATACATATTAGTTCTATGTCCGCGGAATATTGGAACACCCTGTATAACCAAGTAAAAGAATTTTATTTGTATTCTACATTGCTATAATTCCATCCTGGTTCTCAGTTTAAAATGTCTTACACATAAAATTTATCAATTAACAGTGAGATTTTTTTTTATATCTGATTAATTAAATAATAAAATATGCAGGATTTAGGAAAATATACATATTTCAAGAGTTATCAGAAATTAAAACTTTGTTGTAACTGCTTAAACCTTCGATAATCAAAAAATTTCTCTTTCAATAAATAGTTACCGTAGATGGAGCTGAGAAGGCTTAGGTAGGGTATATATAATAAATAAACAAAATACGAGTAGCGGAAAAAGGGGCCAAAAAACCCTACATATGGCGTAGAGCGTCGCCATAGTAACACTCTCGCCATAGTAGTACGTTTTGTACTCAAATGCTATTCTCTGCTTTTCGTTGGTCGGATCGAGGGTTACAGCAAAGTCGGCCTGACGATGGAGAAAAATCTCCGAAACCGGTCGTCGAATGGCTGTTTCCTTCGGTCTGATGAACTTAATGCAGAGAATAAGCATATATGTAGGGTTTTTTGACCCCTTTTTCCGCTACTCGTATTTTGTTTATTTATTTTATATACCCTATCTAAGCCTTCTTAGCTCCAACTACGATAACGTGGATGAAACAAGCATGTTTGTCCAGTAGGCCGCTGGTTTTAATGTTGGCGGTACGATCTGTGATTGTCACAGCTACCGCTAGATGGCGTAGAGCGTCTAGCACTCTCGCCATAGTAGTACGTTTTGTACTGAAATGCTATTCTCTGCTTTTCGTTGGTCGGATCGAGGGTTACAGCAAAGTTGGCCTGACGATGGAGAAAAATCTCTGAAACCGGTGGTCGAATGGCTGTTCCCTTCGGTCTGATGAACTTAATGCAGAGAATAAGCATATATGTAGGGTTTTTTGGCCTCTTTTTCCGCTACTCGTATTTTGTTTATTTATACTTTTTCTTCTCTACAAGTTGACGTTATTATATTTTCAATATCACGTTTCTTTACCGAGATACCAATTTTTTATTTCATTTTTTAAAAGATTGTGACCTCGCAAATTCAATGATTCAGCACATTTGACCAGAAAATGTATAATAATGATTATTCCTATAAGAGTGCCGGCCTACCAAGGCATTGAAGGCAATGAAAAACAAACGATCTAGCTAGAAAAATAGCGAACACTCCACTAACTGGATCTGAACCTGCGATACCTTAGAACTTACGATAAAGAAAAATCATTTCTTGGATTAAGTAAGGACACTCTTCAGGTTGTCACGAGGTTTTTAGTAGGTAGGGAAACACCAGACCATCTTATTACTGAGTGCGCCGAGACGACGACCATTAGTACCATAAAGTGTTGTACGCCTAATATTGGAGATGGAGAACTAACCTATAAAACCGTTTCAGATATTGGCTTTTGCCAAAACGATAATATGATGAGTTGTAACTCCTTATAACTCGCGATTTAACATCTCTCATTCTTCATTCCACATCCCCATAAGAGACAATGTGTTGAAAAGAGATATGGGAAAAAGCATTTTTGAATTAGTGTATATGGAAGGTCATGAAGTTTAAAAACAAAAATTTTAGATTTTAGATCTGTATTTAAAAAAAATAAAGTTGATACTAGATGTCAAGAAACAAGTTAGATTGAAAATCCAATAAATCAATTTGTAGACCAGGGAAAGCAGCAATGGGAATGTGAAATCTGTATTATCATATTATCTTTTCAAATAGAGACAAAAAAAATTAAAACATAATCGTAAAGATTCAGTTTTTCCCAGATAGATTCGGAAGTAAACGGGTTTTTTTCACATTTCGAATATAATTTAATCATTTATATACCTCTTTTGGTTAACGAGATCTGTGCCTGCTTATATGGGACACCGTGTATTAATTCTACTAATTTTAAAATAACTATACTGAAGAAAACACCTTACTATTCAAGATAAACTAAATATTTTTTATATTTTGTTCTTATAGATAGAGAGAGAAAAGGCTGATCTCAGCGTTCAAGTTATTCAATTGTCAGAACGTTTGGAAGAAGCCGAAGGTGGCGCTGAAACTCAGGTAAGTTCAAAACAGAAACCGATTATATCAGTTAAAAAAATCAACTTATGTTTTTCTGCATTCCCTAGTTCGAAATCAACAAAAAACGCGACACTGAACTACTGAAACTGCGTAAACTTCTCGAAGATGTCCACATCGAATCCGAAGAGACTGCTGCCATTCTCAAAAAGAAACATCAAGAAATCGTTGTCGATTTCCAAGATCAAATCGACACTCTTGCCAAGGCCAAATCCAGGTGAGCCCCTTTAAGGTTTTAACCCTTAAACACCCCTGCTATTAATATCAGCGTGAAGAGTGTTATAATTAATTATAATATATAATAATAGCTTCCGTATATAGAGTTTAACGCCTTGAGAGTAGCAAGGTACAGCTTGCCATACTAGAGCCGTTCGGTATACAAGGAAGATAATGTGGCCTAGCACTACGCTTCAACCGCCTATTATTACTTCAGGATTGTGACTCCCAAGTACTCATTAAGGCTGAGTCGACCTAGGTATTTTTATTTTAATAAAAATAGTCGGCTGATGAAATGCCGGGTGTTGTATACTAGTTGGTTTAATGAGATACATAGTTTCAATCATTTTTAAATTGGAATTATTAACTAATAAATAAAAAACGAATATGTGGTAATAGTAAAGAATAAAAATGCTAAATAGGAAATAGTACAGTAAAAAAAGTCAACAAAGCAGTAAAGTAAATAAATATTTAACCGTTTGCCCCTTAATTAAAAAAAGTAAATAACTAAATCATAAAAAACTAGAATAAAATAAATAATAACACATATCAGGTGATGGCAAAAGAGATCAGTGAAATGTTATGTCAATAACTGATTCCCATCAATGCACATCACAGATGAACTTACTGATTGACTTACAGATGTGGCACTTATTTCAACTTGCTGATAAACGCCGACGTGGCCTCGAACCTTTAATAGGGTTATGGCGTTGCCAGACTTTTTTGTTTTTCTCATATGCATTGTTGCCGTTGTTGTAGCGATCAATAGTAGAGATTCACCTTACGCATACGCTTTGTATTTGATCCCTTTAAAGGTTGACTCTCACTATACCTTCCGTTTCCATTCCAAATCCATTCCATATCCGTCCCGTATTTTTATTGTATTGACGCTATATGTAAGCTTCCATTCCAAAGACATTATAAAGATAGACCGAACATCTCATTCATAAATACTCGTTGGTAGTGTATCAAACATTCCAATGTGTCAAACAAGGACAGAAGAGACAGAGAAGTCTAAAATTTCCGACCCCGGCAACTAGGCGCATTTGGATTGTTCTAATGGCCAGTGGCGTATCGTTTTTTGGAACGAATTTAATTAGTAAAGTAAAAGTAAAGTAATTAGTAAAATTTTTACTCCATGCTAATATACTACATTAACACTTTTCGTTAGATGAGTTTTGTTATAAGGTCTAATATAATAATATAATTAATATCCCACATATACTTATGTTGAAACGTTAGTAGATAGTTTTCGAAAATCGCTCCAAACGTCGATATTCAATTTAAACTTTCAGTTACTTCTATATAAACACTCAGTTACTTTTGAATACTTACTGGGTGACTCAGGCTTCCGAAACAGTTCTATATTAGGTTTGTGGTTAGTGACTTTTCTTTCAATTTTTTTTAGAATATGGAGGCAATGGTAAAGCACGTTTTAGACATTTTTGTAATCATAGGTGGCCGGAACATATTTTCAAACTAAAGTTGTAGATTTGCCATTAAATTTCCATTCCAGAAATACCTAGGGTTGCCACCTATCCTTTTTGAAAAGGACAGTCCTTTTTGGAATAACTTGTCCTTTTGACTTTTTTGACTTAAAAGTCATTTTATTTACGTATTTTCCCTGAGAGAAGAAGATAACTTAGAACTTCCCGTTTAATCTCTGAGAAAATTACCTACAGCAAACAGAAATATTCTTTTCGTCCAAATTTAATTAGAGGTGTTATAAAACTTATAAGTAAATTTTTCTTGTTTAGAATAGGCAACATTATTCGAATATGATTAGAATTTCCCGTTTAATCTCAAATGATAGTTTAGGTTTTAGTTTTACCTTTTTTGATCTTAAAAAGAACTTTTCAAAATTAGTAGTTAGTAACGATTTAGTTAGTTCGCAATCGATAGCTTCCTGTGAAGTACTGTGTAATAGTTGTTTAATCTTGTATTATTATCAACTTCCTATATCTAAAATCAATATTTATTTTAATCCTTTTAGTCTCTCAATAGAGGGCATTTATCATTAAAAGTATCAAATCTGTGTGCTACAGTATGGGATTTCTGTCGCATAATAATGGATATTACGTTTATTTACAAATCCATTACTTAGGTAGCTTAATCAGACAATCAAATTTTAGTTAAACGTCCCAATCTTCATGAACTGTATTAAGCATATGTATTGAATCACCCTGTATGTTGACAAAAATATTTTGAAAATGTGCGTTACAATGGCCCCGATCTTATGTAAAGATTGAAATAAAAATCACAAACCAAAAACGTAATAGGTAAAAAGCTTTTTTTTGGAGGCCTGGGTCACTCTGTATATAGGTATGTATAAAACTAGTAGCCTAAAAAATAAAGGTAAACACACCGTACAAATAACTCTAGGAAGAGGTATTTGTATTGTACGGTGGTAAAAACTTGTCTAAACAAGACCGAAGGGGCAGATACAAGATATAATTAAGCAATAAAATGTAAAAAAGGTCGGGTAAACACCTTTGTTTATTTGTTGAGCAAAATTCCTTTAGAATATCGTATATAATGACCAAAATATGACGCAATTTAAAAAAAGTCATCAAATTGTCACTTTCTGGTATATAATAAAGTTTCAAATGCAACGTTTACATTCAAATTTGTTATGATCTACAACAGTTGGGTAGTAATTGAGACGAATTATAATTCAATTACCGGCTACTACGTTCTTGTTTTAATAGATCAAAATTCAACAAATATAATTAGAAATTATTTTAATTTTGAGAGGCTCCCTTGTAGGACGCCTATGTACGATTACGGCGGAAACAATACCTACCTGTGAAAAGACAAATTCGGGTAATTTGAGCTTATTCTTCTACACATTTGACACTGTCCTACCATATGGAAAATTAGCAGATTCAAAAGTACGTTAAACAAAAACAAAAACTACTGAAAACCACTGAAAAGTTCACTTCGGCCTTGATTCCGACTTCAAACACACCGTAAGCTAAACGTAGTACGCTATAACGGACCAAGGGCCGTCGCGAGGGGTAGTGGGACGGACGGCTCATTTCATTCTGGAAGGCAAGCAGCGACGTTGCCAATAGTTCTAGACGTTTCAGCACATTAAACAGTAAACATGTCCTTTAATAGTAACGCATAGATCCTCTGGTTAATAACATATTATTACGCATGCTTCTTTAAAGATAAACTATTAATTTAATTAAGAAATTGAGATTTATTGATATCCGGTGAAGGTTTTAAAGTCACCTTTTCTGCAAATCAAACTAAGTAGATAGGCGCAAATTTGAGATGTGGCAATGTCGCCTTCTCTATCTCAATTGGTTTTTACAGTACGTAGTCAACCTCCGGTTGTTTGATCGGGTTAAAATGCACAATGTGATATCTGTTCTTACTAAATCTATGTTCCATTCCGTATCAGTTCCATACTTTTTATTTTACAATTTATATCATTACGAAAGTTTTATTTTAAAAATTTGATTCCTTTGAAAAAAGTAATAAATTTGATTAAGAGGTGAAAGAATAAATAAATATCAGCAAAATATTAATAGAGCTGGTAGAAATGTTCTACTTGTGAAAAATAATTATGCTACGGCAATTTGACTTAGGTGTTTCAATAGTGTATCTGATATTTTTGTTATTAAATATATAACTATTATAACTTACATATTTTTGTTAGATATATATTTTTTTAACAAAATTGATAACTAATAACATTAATTGACAGCGCAAAACAAGACCAACATATTTTTGAGTTTATCCTACATTATATTTTTACACGTTTTAAATATAATTAGAACGGCACGATGAACCGGAAATTACGTCACCCATATTAATCTCCAATCGCGTTCCACCTAAATTTATGCATATGCTCCTTTCTAATCGTTTTATTCAATATGCGATTTTTCTCACATTATTTGGAAAATTTCATTGCCTAAGCCGGCCTAAGCCTCAAATATCTGTTATTTTTACCACATCTTTTTGTAGTACAATCGAAACCAGAATTAACAGATTAAATCCTTGACAAAAATTAATTGAGAAAAAGTATTTTAATCCGGAGCTTTCCACAAAAATTCCGAATATTTTTACGAAATACTCGTTTTTGTTCGACACCGGTCGTATAGAGTTATAAATAGCACTCGCCCGCCTTATTAGTCCTGCATAACGAAGTTTTCTAGCCTCAGTATTTTATTACGATTGTGATATTAATAATGTTCATTTCTTAAACAATGGCACATTTTTGTCTATAATAAACAGCATTAAATCTAAAACCATATATTTTCATATTGACTAAAATGCCATATACAATATTATACCATATCTTCCAGAAATCTTGTTAGGAGCTTATTTTCATTTCTGGGAAATAGGTATTTTTGAAGAGAAATCAACCACAACCAACCCTTTGTGTCACGTCAATCACCCACATCATCATAGACTAATGTCATGTAGCACATCATTTCCATATACGATAAAACGTCAGATTATTTAAACGCACACAATTATGTAGGTAATTAACTCACCTTGCCATAATCTGTATAATTCGAGTTTTTCTAAGAAACAATTTTTTGGCATATGTAAAAGTTAGGGTGTATTCCGTTGCTTACCTTGGTTATGGTTTTATGTTCCGTTTCTATCGGTTTCCTGAAAGTTTTTTTATTACGGAACACGGTTCCTGAAAAATTCGGTTATAACTGTCACCTAACTAACCAGCGCGAAAAGGCTGGTTTTCTGGTTTTGTTTGTCAATCAATGTCATTTATGTGACACAAATCAAGCAAATATTGGAAGTTCGAGTGAAATTCTTATTTAATTTCTAAAATTTGTGATAATATTTTGTACTTACATCCAAAAGCAATGGAGGTAGGCAGTAAGGGTGAATAAATTTCATTAACTAAATAGAATGACTTTTTAGGACCATTTAAACTTATTATGCAACCATTCGCGGGTGATCTGGCAAATGCTCCTATCTGTCATTTTTTTAAAAATTGAGATTATTTTAGCATAACGTTCTATGAGTCATTATGCACGTATTGACAAAAGGTAATATCTGAAAATAAAAAATTTACGGCACAATTCAAAGAAAAGAAAACCTCCTATCTGAAACCGGCTGTTATTCTGGTCACACAAACTCCTATCTACGTATTTTGATTAAACAGCAAAAGCTCCTATCTATGATCGGGTGATATTAAGAAGCAATTTCTCCTATCTTCATAACTTTGCGTTAAAAACCAGCGAGTCGTGACACGCTTCTTGTGCTTGTTGGATTTTTTAGTTATATTTTGAACTAAAATTAAGGTGATTTACTATATATTTACTATATATACTAAAAAACTATGAAAGCAAATTAGCCTATCTTACTTTTACCACAAGCAAAACGTCCTATCCTTTATAATCCTAAAATACAAATATAATCCTATGTGCCATTTTATCAAAAGCAAAAAATCCTATCTGATTTAATAAACAAGTTTGCAGTTTAATTGTTTCCAAATAAATAGTATTTAATAGAAAACATATATTATAATGTATTTTCAATAGCCCAGCCTTCTAAAGCTTGATTTTCATGCATCCGTTATCCGACGATACGATGGTACGATATTAATTTTATTGGTTGATTTTAAAGACTTCGATTGGTTAACCGTTTCTAACCAACCGAAGTCTTTAAATTCAACCAATAAAATTAATATCGTATCATCGTATCGTCGGACAACGGATGCATGAAAATCAAGCTTAAATCGTTCCGTTTTTGAAAATACCGTTTTTATTGCCTCCTGTAAAGTTATTGTTTCAGTGGATAGGAACATTTGCCAGATCACCCGCGCATAGTTTCTTAAAGTCGGAAACATTTAAAGAAAACATGAAAAACAAGAAAAGAAGTAATCGTGAATGTTTTGTAAGCTATAAAAATATAAATATTGATTAGATTTGTTTATTTATTATTGATCTGTTTTAATATTGGACCTGCAAATCTTCACTTGAACTGTCTAACGAGTTTTACAGTTTATTAATAAAGTAATTTTCAATATTAAACTCCATTGAAGGAGATTAAACTCCATTGAGAATGAAGATTAAACTCCATTGAGAATAAGAAAACGCAAACGAAGAAGAAGAAAAGGAAGAAGCAAACGTAAAGGCAGAGAATAGGTACAGCTGGTTCCAATAAAATTGAATACGATTTAAAACTTATTTTTATTATTTCGGGCAGTATATTTTATGATACCAGTCCCCCATTTCTCTACTCATGTCATGCTGACATTCTGAAAAATGTATTTGCCACTTTGTCAAAAACAAAATCGTTTTATTCAATGTCACAATAACCTTAACATGTCAAAATACTTGACACATAAATATACACTGCTCAAATATTCGAAAAAAATGTGTAAAGAGTCGTATTCATTTTTTTTGGAACCAGCTGTACATTAAAAATGCATAAAAGATAAATTTTATAATAGAGGTATTGAAATTTAGTAAATGTCAACATTTGACGTTTCCAGCATTTTACCAAACCGTTCCGTATCAAACCGATGTTTTTCAGGAACCGCTCTTTACCGTAGTTTACCGGTCTGGTTCGCCTGGTTTTGCAACGGAATGCAGCCTTAGAATGATATAAAAGTTGATATATGATATGTCATTTTATTCAGAGTGTCATTTTCTATCGAATAAAGTAAAAAAATACCCAGGGTGCCATTTAAAAATCAAAAGTTGTAGTCATTTATGGTGAAACAGGAAGTAACCGAAAACAATTGAATACGACAATCAATCCTAATTTATGTCATATACTAACATACCAAATCTCGTTTTTTTAACTGAAAAAATAAAAAAGTTATAAGGGTGAGCCACTTTTGAGAGGCACCCGGTATAGTTAATAAACTGCATAGTTACGTAAAATATAGTTCTAGAATTCGGCTATGACATTTATGAATTGTAATGAAATGATCTATCGGTGGTATTTTGACAAAATATACGTACTACGCCTGGCTGAAAATATCTGGTAAACAGGGGAAAATTATTTTTAGATGACAGAAATATACGGCCGGTGTTCTAAATATCTCGTTTTAGCCGACAAAATAGCCGGCTGGCTAATCTAAACTGTGAAGTAAAACATTATTTTGATATTTTAACCGAAGAAAAAAAAACAAACTAGGATTATTATTTATTATTCTATGACATAGAATTGTTAAACACAATTAATGTCAGTTTTAAGGCACGGTTATTATAATTTTTTGGTGAAAAAATAAATCACAAATAGTTTAAAAAAGTTTAGAGTAAAAAAATCTGCCCCCGCCGCGCGGATATTTTTACTCCCACTCAAGGGATCGATTTGGTGTCGAATCAAAATAATTCACCTAAATTTTTAGCTTTATGAAAAAAATAATATTATGATGATGATTCTTAAACGAAAAGCCGATTTTTAGCGGAGGAAAGAAAATTTAAATCTTCATTTTTTTTAACCTTTGTGAAATATGTCACTCACTAAAAATCGCCAGAAAATGTCTTTTATACTTCTATACACTCAGGAATTTTTTAGAATTTTTTGAAGTGGTGGAACAATATGAAAAAATTAATTTTTTTTTTCTAAAATCTTTTGTTTTAACTAACTCATATTTTTGTTTAGTTTAAAAAAGTGCGTTAGTAAATCTTTTTTCGTTAAAAATACATCCTTGCCAAAAATAAACAAAAGATTATTATAAAAAATGAGTCCGAGAAGATTTTAGAAACAAAAATGATTTCAGAAGAAAAATGTGTCTATGTTTTTTTAATTTTTTTCATATTGTTTCACACTTCAAAAAATTCCTCAATGTAAAGAAGTATAAAAGACATTTTCGAACGATTTTTAGTAGTGACATATTTCACAAAGGTGAAAAAATGAAGATTTTAATTTATTTTCCTCCGCTAAAAATCGGCTTTTCGTTTAAGAATCATGATCATATTATTTTTTCATGTGTTGGACTTCTAAGAATTAGAAAAAAATCATCATTAATTAATTTTGAATTTCACTATAAAAATAAAAATAAAATTGAAAAAACAGGGTTTTTGAAAATTTCGAAACCCGTCTGAGTTAAAGGGCTAAAAATTTAGTTGAATTATTTTGATTCAACACCAAATCGATCCCCACAGTGCTAGTCAAAAAAGCTGCGGGGCAGATTTCCCATATTAATCCAGCTATACCCTTTAATTTAAATTGGACGATTTTTTCGCCATTGATGATGGAGTTTCATATTGCACAAAACGTTGTCAAAATATCATGAAAAGATGGATCTTTTCATGATATAAATAAATTCAATTTTATATTACTTACCAGTTTTTATAATCATACAGAGACTTTTTCATGAATATCTAAATATTAAGAGAAAACAATACACTACCAAATTTAACAACATATCTACAGTTCATGCCAAATAAACTTTTAGTCACGTGATTAAGCTTGACCGGCACTGTGTTGTCCACTTTTATATATTTTCTTTTAATCAAAATATTTTAGGAAACAAAAATAAATTAATTATAAATATATAAATAGTTATTAATTACATCAACAAAATTCACCTTCTTAACAGCACTTAAAGAACCATTACTACCGCTTTCCCGTTCAAAATATTCTAATAAAGGTGCGATGAGTTTTTTACGGCTATTAAGCAATCTTGTACACTTTGCACTAAAAGAGGTTCTAAAAATAAAAATGTTCGACTAGTAAAGGTCTGCTGGTAAAAATGTTTAAGCTTGCAGTATCAGAACACTATTTATTTAAACCAAAAACTCCTAATACACAACTAAAGTGTCAAAACGAATGACAATGTCAGGAAATAAATAAATAAATGCGGCAACTTGACATTTTTTACAGCAGAGCTACCACCTGAATCCCCAGCGCGAAATTAAAATTCCTGTTAGTCAGCACAGCGTCGAATATGTCCATGGTTGGCAACAATGAATTAAAAAATCGCGCGATTACGCAACTAAAAGTTTAATTGATATGAAATATATGTATTGTTGCGGACCAGTGTGGACTCGACCTAACCTGACTATATGTCCCGCCCTCAGATGACCTTAACATCGCATTAAAGAATAGACACCGTAATGATTCATTCGAACGTTCGAGAAAAAACGAGTTCCACTGGAATGGAGTAGTACATACGAGAACATTCAAAACCTTCTCTATGCACCTAACGATTTATGGACTATTCGAGAAATCTTTAGCTGTGGGTATAAAAGCCGGCGGCTGGGGCCTGTAGAGGGCAGACAATAGACGAGTACAGTTGACGCGCTAAAATTCAAAATAAATTCTTTCTAGATAAATAGTTATAAATCGTTTGCAAATAGTTCTTTAAGTCTTTTATCGTTATTGTTTTTGTTAATTAGTGTTAAATAAATTGTATTTAAATAAATTGTGACTTTCTATCCACACGGAACCGACGAAAAACGTAACAGTATTTTATTGATTTTAGGGCTGAAAAGGAAAAATCCAAATTCCAAACCGAAGTTTACGAACTCCTGTCCCAAGTGGAGAGCGTGAACAAGGAACGCCTCATCGCCGTAAAGCACTCCGAAAAGCTCGAGATCACCATCACCGAACTCAACGTCAGAATCGAGGAACTCAACCGCACCGTCGTAGACATCACTTCCCACAAGCAACGTCTTTCCCAAGAGAACATCGAACTTACAAAGGAAGTCCAAGACATTAAGGTTTGTATTATTTTGAGTCAAATTCTCGTTATGAAACGCACGTTACAATTTCAAATAAACCATATGCAAAAATGTTAAAAGTTGACATATGATATGTCATTCTATTCAGAGTGTTAATTTCTTTCGATTAAAGTAAAAAAAATACCGAGGGTGTTATTTAAAAATCAAAAGTTGTGATCATTTCCGGTGAAAGAGGAAGACTTCCTCTTTCACCTTAGTAGTCTTCACTTAGTAGTCAAAAACAATTGAATACGTCAATCACTCCTAATTTATGTAATATACCAAATATCGTTTTTTTATCTGAAAAAATAAAAAAGTTATAGGGGGTAGTCACTTTTGAGACGCACCCTGTATATACTTATCATACTCAAAAAAAATCTATTTACGACTTTGCTGTAAAATCAATAGGAAAGCCAATATTTAGACAGTTTAAAATTTGCATGGTATTTCTGTTTCCAACGACGATACGCCACCCGGTATATGAACGTGCGTTTTGCTAACCATGTTAGTAGTATCAACGAGTAATTAAAACTAACCTATTTATTATTCACAAATTCCCAGGTCCACCTCGAAAATGCCAACTACCTCAAATCCCAACTGGCCGGCCAACTCGATGACGCTCGTCGCCGTGCCGAAGACGACGAAAGAAGGAGGTCCCTCCTCGAGGCCCAGCTCCACCAGGTCGAGGTCGAACTGGAATCCATCCGCGTCCAGCTGGAAGAAGAGAGCGAGGCCCGCTTGGACCTCGAAAGGCAACTGGTCAAGTCCCAGGGCGAGGTCCAGGTCTGGAAGTCCAAGTACGAGACCGAGGCCGCCGCTCGTGCCGAAGAAGTTGAGGAACTGCGCAGGAAGTTCAACGCCCGTCTTCAGGAACAGGAGGAGCATATCGAGGCTCTGCTTGTGAAAGTGAACAACTTGGAGAAGCAGAAATCTCGCTTGCAGTCGGAGGTTGAGGTTCTGATCATCGATTTGGAGAAGGCAAACAACACCGCCAGGTAAAGTGATTTAGATAAGACAGGCTTGGGATGATTTGTAATCAAACTATATTATTTTCTGGACTGGAAAATATTTGTTTAAATGTTCAAGATAAAGTCAAATTTTGAATAAAACTATCATTTTAGACTTGAATCTTTATTAAATTTTAATAACTCATCATTGGTGTATGTTAAAATGGTGAGTTTCTAATTCAGTTTTTCTTTTCTCAATGTAAAGGGACCGTCCTATGGAAAAGGCCTATTGTGTGTCAATTTTCTATATCTGCACCCAGTTCATGCAGGTCTTTGAAGGGATGGGTGCATAGTTCCTTTGGTTCTAGCCTTTTCCAAAACCTTCCTCTCATTTTTTCTTTGCGTTAAAACATTTCTAGCTCTTCCTAAAGTTCCCGATGCCGCTGATGTTGGCTTCTGCTGCTTCCTCAAGTCCCTCCAAAAAATCGTACCCTAGAGTTTTAAAGTGTCGGTAGTCCAGTGCCGGACAATGACACAGCAGGTGTTCTATGATTTCTTCTTCTTATCCCTATTCCCCGCAGTAGTCATCGTTGGAAATTTTCCATCTCACGAGATTTACCCCCGTGGGGTAAAATAAAATTATGCGTACTAGATTTTTTTTGTGCTATAGTAGTTGTTTTGTCTTTTTGCTATTGACCACTGGCCACAGTCTTCGAACTATAGCGTAGTCCTCACGGTGTTGCCACATCTCTTGCTGATAGGCCTTGATGGTAGTTTCTATAACTCCCTTCAGTGCGCTATTCGTCACAGGTGGTGGATCATCTGCCACAGCCTCTCTCCTGGCGCCCTCTTTGGCGAGTTTGTCTGCTCCTTGATTGCCCACCACATAGCTGTGCCCTGACACCCAGCACAGAGTTGTTCCGCCTTGGCGCAGCCAGGACAGCACTTCTCGGCAGTCCATCACAGTTTTCGATCTCACTGATTGCATGGTGGTGCGTCTTAAAGCCCACCCTGACGTTGTTTTTTTTTCAAAATTATTACAAAAATTAATTTCTCCTAGTTCCATTTGCATTAAATCATAAGCCTGTAATAATTTAAGTATTTTGTTAATTGATATTAATAAATAAGTTTTACAGGGAATTGCAAAAGCGCGTGGAACAGCTGGAGAGAATCAACATCGATTTGAAGAGCCGTTTGGACGAGACCGTCCAGTTGTACGAACAAAGCCAGAGGGATCTCAGAGTCAAGGTTTCCGAATTGCAACGCACCGTCCACGAATTGGACAAGACCAGGGAACAAAAGGACGCCTTGATCAGAGAGAACAAGAAGTTGGCCGGTATGTCCCTTTCTTTATCTACCTGTCTTTAACAGTCCATAAAACCATCGATTCTTATTTGCATTGAAGAACTGCAAGTGTTGACCTCCAGTTCTTCAATGCCTATATCTATGTCCAAAAAATTTTGAATTTATGACATGCAGTAATTCCCTTAATCAAAATATTGTCTTTTATGTGAATAATTATTAGATATGTTAGACGCTATCAGTACGTCTTGGTTTGACTAATTTATCAAACTAAAATTATTGTTTACAATAATTATTATTATCGATAAGTAATGTTTTATTTAGGATTTTAAAAAGTCAGTAAAATAACGTTTAGTGTCTCTGATAAAAGATTTATATAATACTAATTTTTAAACTCCATTTATTACACTACAAAAATCAGTTAAGTTCATTTTTGAAAACCAAAATCTTTTCCAAGGACTCACTCTGTGAATAGATTTTGTACTTTCAATCTCAATTAATGTACTTAATGATTTTCAGACGACTTGGGTGATGCCAAAGTCACCATCACCGAACTCACCCGCCGCCTTCACGAAGTGGAACTTGAACTTCGTCGTTTGGAAAATGAACGTGATGAACTCACCGCCGCATACAAAGAAGCTGAAGCTGTAAGTAATATTTAAACTTTTTTCAACAGAATACTATACGCTATTATAATATAATATTATAACTTATAATTTATTTTGAGTGAATAAATAAACCTACCTGAAATGTGAATGTAATTTCTATTGTCATTGTAAAGTACCGTTCTGAATAGACTCATTCAATGCTCAATGTTATCACATTTCCCTAAATAGTCTTAGCACTGCTGTCTTCTTTTAAAGTTCCATGGTATCCCATAGTGTTCGTATTCAAATAGTTTCAATTCTGTAGAGAAACAAAAATATTTTGTTGAAACGGTCTACATTCTGGATTTTTGGAAACAGTTTGGCTATGATATGTGTCTTCATGTGTTTCATCGAGTTGATCATGTTGTCTTTCTCTTCTTCTTCTTCGTACGTTAGGACCAAGGCCTGTGTTTTCTTCAATGGTTCCCTAAGAACAGTTGGGATGATTAAGACCAGTTTTCATACCAACTTATAAGTGGTCGTCCCGGCTGTCGAGGAGTGTTGGATCTTTTCTCCTTAGCAATTTTCGCTAACCGGTCGTTTGGCATCCTGTCCACATGGTCTTCTCCACTCTTTTCTCCTGTTTCTTGCCCATCTTACTACATCCTGTATTTCACATGTTTCTCTTATATCCTCACTTCTTTTCCGGTTATATAAGGTATGTATAATGTATATGTTGATGACACAGTTCTTATTCCTATTTTACATAAAAACTGAAGAACATATCTAGCTGTCTTTTTTTTCTGGTACTTTTAATATATGATTTACAATAACTTTAACGCTCAAAATTGCAACTCATAGAAATAGAGATATTGAAGTTGCTACATATTGAGTTTAGTAAATTCAATTCTGTTGTTTTGAGAGTCTGTCTTGGTCTGCATTTGTAATCTTTTCTGGGCCATAAATTCACAGCTGTCTCGACATCTTTATGGTAATCTGTTGGTCTAGGGGTTTATTTATCAATCCTGGGACATTCGATCAGCTATTTTTAATAGATTCAATAATTTCATCTATTGAGCATCTCATTCATCAGTTGCAATTGTCAATATTTGTTTGTGTCTTTATCAGGCGAATGCATTGCATACTTCATAACTTTTATTTCCTTTCTGATGTACTTGTTAGATCAAAAAATTTATTTTAAAGCGTCTGATGTTTCTGATACCTTATATTAATTTAAGTCTTTAACAAGATTAATTCAAGGTGTCAATTTGATGAGGATCAGTTTGATACGCCCTAGTTGATTGGTTTGTCAGAATAGAGACCAATGTTTCAGTCCTTAGACGGAACTTATAAAGTTACTACGAGAATTAACTTGTTTAAATCCAAAATCTAATCTGTCTATTTAGATTAAATTAGTTATTACTTAAAATAATCTATGAAGCTTACATTATTTCATTTCATTTTAAATTTTTTTATTTTATTTTTATGCCTTTAGGGCCGCAAAGCTGAGGAACAACGTTCTCAGCGCTTGTCTTCTGAATTGGCCCAATTCCGTCACGAAGCTGAGAAGCGTTTAGCTGAGAAGGACGAGGAAATCGAAGCTATCCGGTAAGTGTTTAATTTCTAGTCATTATTAAAAACAGTTTTACACAAAGAGAGCTCCTCTTAGTTGTATTGCTATCGTATACGTTCTGTTATAATAGGCATTTTCAAGCTTTTTAAATAAATAAAATATTTAGTTAAATTAACCATTCTTCTTCTTCCTGTGTCTTGTGCTTAGCCGCACGTTGGCGATTGTCTGTACTCTTCATATAATGTGTAGAGTGCCGTTTTCGGCTCTTTGAAATATGGTGGCTGCGTCGCTGATATTACACCAATCCCGTATGTTTCTTAGCTAGGAATGTTGTTTTCTTTGTGGGCCTCGCCGTCCCTCTATTTTTCCTTGTAAAATTAGTTTAGGAATGTAATATTTGTTTCCTCTAAGGATAGGGGCGAGGTAGGAAACGTTTCTTTCTTTAACTATGTTAAGTATTTCTCATTCATAGCCTGCAGTTCTTAAAACTTCTTCGTTGGTAGCATGTGCGGTTCATGACACACGTAAGAGTCTCTGGAGAGTCCACATTCCGAAAGCCTCGGTGCAGTTCAGGGTGCTAGCCTTGAGAGACCACGTTTCTGCGCCCTATAGTAAGATGGGCCATATGTAGCATTTTACTACCAGTAGTCTAAGTGCTAGCAGGAGACTACGTGCTAATAGGAACTTCAACTGCAAATTAACCATTGGTTGCTAAAAATTCAAATGCTATTGTTTAAATCTAGTACTACTCTATATTGCTTTATTAGCTTTTTTTGTTTTCCTGTTATTACCAATTCTGAACCGTCCTAGAATTGTGATGCGTATGCGCAGAAGGAAATATGGAGACATTATTTCATTTGCGCATGCGCTGGAGAGTTCTAGGACGATTCAGAATCAATAATAACAGGAAAACGAACAGACCTATTATATGGCAATGATTCTCTTTCAAATACAAGTAGGTTAGCTTATTATAGTACATGCATATTATAATCAGGAATATTAAATTTTTGGTCCACCCTATAGAGTTTATTGTCGCAAATGTTTAATTAAAAATAACGACAACTCGTCTAAAAATAGCCTTTATGTAATTAATTAGACTTTGATAAAACACCCAAAGTTCAGCAAACGATATTTCGACTAAGTGACAAACACCTCCGAACACCGCCAAAAAATTACCAAAGACCCATATATAAAGTTTTCATTGCTTAACGACCTCAGTTTCCGAGTTTGTTTACTGAAGAGCGCTCGCTATGCCTGCCGAAATCAAATGGCAACCGAAAACCCAGCTTTACAAGTACAACTACGGCGTCGGTATGAATTTTTACCAACCCATGGTCGACTTTATCGATGAAAAAACGCACGGACAACACGTATCGGTCCCCCACCTTCCCTGGACCGAGGAACTGGGCCTGGACCAGTTTGACCCGACGCGAATTAGCAGTTACTCCGAGCAAGACCTGGCGAAAGTGTCCGAAAGAACGGAAAGAAACGCCAAACTTCGTATGGCCCGTGGTCATCACGCCAGTTCCAGCTTCCTGTTGTCCGAGTCGGTCAGTGCTGCGAGAATCACCACGAAAATCCAACAGGAAACACGTAAAAAGGACAAACTAGTCAAGGAAATTAATAAACTGAAAAGCAGAATGAAGGACGATATTGAATATAATCCAGACGAAGACAAACAGATCGAACGTGAACTCAGAGCAGAACAAAGATTCTTGAGAGGAAAATCTTCCGGTGGAATTGCAGCTCAACTGCTTTTAAGCAGTCGTAAGGCCATAGAACAAGGTTTGGAAAAAGAACATGTTAGTGCTGCATCAGCTGGACGAGTTATTCAATTGCACTCGAAGTTCATGGATGAAAGAAACACCAGACAGTTAGAACAGGCTTTCAAGCAGCCTCTGGATTCTTTGAGCCAGGAATTAAGAGGGTTTGATCGTCGAACTACGCACATTCTCATCGACCAAAGGTGACCATGTATGTTATTTGTGATTGTTAGGGTTTATTTAACTTTCGTTTTGTTCTGCAACTATCATCGTTAAAAAATACAGTGTTTTGAAGATTACGCAATGAAAAATGGTAATTTTTCTAAGATATTATTGGCTATTTTTTGTTATTAAGCGTCTTGTTTTATTTCTTTATTATAGTTTTCAACAATAAGATGCACGATGTAAAGTATTTGATGTTTGGTGTGTTTTAGAGTCTTACTCTGAGACAATTCTTAACTTGGTAGATGTTAGTAAAGTTGTTCCTTCAAGAAATATTCTCCAAGTTCACTTGATAAGGAAGCAATTAAATAATATTATAATTCTGGAGTTTCAAAAAATCACGACACTTCAGCAAACAAAAAAAATTAGTCAAAATTTAACTTATTTTGCCAGGACCTTTGTGAAACACAGCCCTAAGATTTATGACGTCACACAAGTCGTCGAATTTACTGTATTGTGTTATACCTATGGTTTCGCATGAATATTATTGTAAATTAGTACAGTTATGTGACATAAAAATGAAAAAAATCATAGAAGCAGTTAAAAGAATTCGTAGAAAAATGTTAAAAGTTTCAATTCATCTGTCAAGTAGGTATTTCGATATTTTATGCCTCTTAGTCCCGATTGTACATACTTGGTTCAAGGTGATTTCAGACTTAAAGTTCAAAATTTTAATGAGATGTTCAATAACTTCTTATCGTTGAAATTAGATCAAAAATTTGGTAATAGACTATTGAAATTTAGCAAGCCATTATTGAGGCTTGGAACTTATTGAAACTGGGTCTTTAATCATCTTATAATCTTATATTGCAAGAAAAATATACCTCAACAAAAATGTTCGGCGTTTATCACAGTTCAAATGAAGTCGAATTTAAACTGTGTTTGTACAACCTGGCCTTCCTCCCTCTAGATGCCTTCTCTGTTGAGGTTGGCGATTAATATGGCATATTTTTAGGTGTACATGAGTTTTCATTCTGTTTAAAACTTCTGTTTGTTGTTCTGGAGGTCCAACTTATTCTCAGCATCCGACGATACATCCACATTTCAAAACCGAGCATTAGACTACAAAATAATCCTCGAAGATTGAGACTGGAGTGTGCAGGCGCGTGGCACCCCCCCGTAAATTGGAGGCCCCCGCCCCTCCTCATCCTTCAAAAACAATTATCAAACAAACCGAAAACTAAAATTACATTTAGGCACACAATCCTTTTTTCAACAATAATTATTCAAGCAAAAAATTTACTTTACGAAAAAATCAAAAATTTGCACAGTATCAGAGTTTTCAGATTTTATTTTTGAAAAAAACCAATTACTGATTGAGATTTGCACTGTATTCCCCAGTTGTTTCTGGTTCTCCCTGCAATATCAGCTGAACCAGAAAGAACTTTTTGTAAGCTGAAAATAATAAAAAGTTTTGCGAGGTCTACTATGTCCCAAAATCGCCTAAGCTCACTGGCCATAATATTAGTTAAGAATGATCGAGCAAAAGAGGTAGACTTGGACAGCTTCGTAAACAAGTTCCTTTTGTTAAGTTCGAGGAAAAAGGAATAGGCTTTCTAATATACCATAAGGTACTTCATAAATATTTAAAATTTCTTGTTCACATTTGTGTTTTAGTTATTAGTAGTTAAATGTTGAGTGGTTTTTTTTCTAATAAAACTTTGATTAATTAGAAGCATAAATGTTTGTTTTCTAGTTTAAGTATTTTAAGAGTACTATAATAATAAATAAATAAATGTTGAAACAATTATCAAAATATAAAAAAATATATCACATTGTGGTTCTCGTGAAATTGGTTCATTCAAAAATATATTTCAAGCAGATATCACAATAATGATGTATTTGAAGGAATTTTAGAGTGTACTTAGGGGGGCCCCTAAAAAATTTGCGGGGGGGCCCCCGCGAGAATTTGCCACGCTACTGGGAGTGTGCCTTGTCATAGAAATAAAAAAGACACTGTTGAATTCTTAACGTGGTAGATGTTATTCCAAGAGAGATTCTCCAAAGGTCACTTGATAAGGAAGTTGTGTAAGAGCGGCTCCCCAATAATTTATAAGGTCTAAAAATAGGCGACGGTTAAAGATGAAAGAAAGGCGAAAGCCAGTGCCAAATTAAATAGGTTTCGCTTTTGGCCGTGCTAATTATGTCGCTAAATTTAGATCGCAGACTGGCATCCAGCTAATATACCATAATATAAACAAATTAACGTGATGGGAAATAATTTTATTAATAAAAAATCCATTAGTTAATTTTAGACTCTAATTAAACCTGTCTCAAACAATTTATCACAGGGGGTCTGTGATATTGGAGAGTTGAATTCCAATGTCAGGGTTGCAGATATAAAATTGGTAAAATTTTTTGATATAAACAGAAATTCTTCAATTGCAGCTTTCTAAAAGAAAGAATAAAATAATAATTTATTGTGATCAGGTTCAACCTTACTTTGTTTATTACATCAAACAGCACTAAACGCGATCAACTCAGTAACCATCAATTCAAACTTGGTCAAAGAATGCCTAGAGAAGCTCAACAAATTAGGCAAAGAAAATAAGGTCCTCCTACTCTGGGTACCTGCTCACCAAAGGATAGATGGCAATGAAAAAGCAAATGATCTAGCTAGAAAAGGAGCGAACACTCCACTAACTAGACCAGAACCGTTCTGTTTTTTAAGCGGGAACCAACTGAAAGCGGAACTGAAGAACCTGGAAGACTCCATCCGTAACCTGGAATGGATGTAAAAGTTTCTCAGAACTTACGACCAAGCAAAATCAAAGTTTTTCCTTGATGTAACTTGGAATGGGTATAAAAGTTTCTTACGTAAGTAAAAACAATCTTCGGATTGTCACGGAGTTTCTATTAGGACACTGTCTCCTCAACGAACACCTCGGTAGGCTGAAGCTGAGAAACAACGGCGAATGCAGATTCTGTGGTGAAAATGAGGAAACACCAGAACACCTTATCACTGAGTGCGCCGAGACGACGACCGTTCGTGCCATGAACTTTGGTACGGCTGATAAAAAAGGTAAAGGATGGAGAGCTGGCCTCTGTGAAGCCGTCTCAGATACTGGCTTTTGTTAAAGCTCTGAGACTGTATAATGAGTTATATTTCGTTATAATTCAAGAAAGGGGAACACAAAATAGATCTGTAACGTCGCGGTGATTAACTCCCCTCCTAAACATTCTACTCTATTACTGCCATTACTTGCTGACGAGTATTTGATACACATCAGAAGATGGTTACGCAAGGCGTTTCCTTTCATGAGCTTTTCTGTGACTGAAAAGCCCGATACGTGATGTTATCTCTCTTCCGCACTCCGGACATTCAAAAATCTCATTGCTTGGTTGCCTCTTTACTTTTTGGTTGCCGCTGTTAACTGAGTTAGCAAATCCTCTCATAGCTCATACGGGAAGACCGCAGTATATTCTTTGATAACTATATGATGAAACATATTATTTTTTTATTATCAAGATAAAAATATTTATATAAAGTGATGTTTGTACTTCATGGCGAAAGTTGGTGTTTAATAAAACATTTAAGTGAATTTTTGAAAAGATTTACATTTTTGAGGTGAAAATTCATTGCGCGGGCTGGGAGTAAAAATTCCAGGCCGTGACACACGAGATAGTAGTAATGGCTTACATATACGTAGTGACGTGACGTGTATTTGTGAGCAGTCCACGTGATTATTAAAAAAATTAAAATTATTTGTATGAAAGGGAATCAAATTATTTATTAATATTTTATTTTACGCGTATACTATTTGTTACACGTAAAAAACTATTTGTTACAAACATGAAACTATTTTTTACGTATAAAAAAAAATATTTGTTACACGTAGAAAATTATTTTTTACGCGTAAAAAAATACTTTTTAAATTTATTACTTTTTCAACAAACTACACTTTTTCAAACATATCCTTCAAATCGTTAAATTTATATACCGGGAGCGTCTCAAAAGTGGCTCACCCGTAACTTTTTTATTAAAAAAAATCGAGATTTGGTATGTTAGTATATGACTTAAATTAGAATTGATTAACGTAGTCAATTGTTTTCGGTCACTTCCTGTTTCCCCGGAAATGACTACAACTTTTGATTTTTAAATGATTCCCTCAGTATTTTTTTTTACTTTATTCGATATAAAATGACACCCTGAATAGAATGACATATCATATCTCAACTTTTGACATTTTTGCATATGGTTTATTTGAAATTATAACTTGCGGTTCGTAACAAAAATTTGACTCGAAATACCAAGTGTATGGTATTGTTACGTTTTTCGTCGGTTCCGTGTGGATAGAAAGTCACAATTTATTTAAACACTATTTATTTAACACTAATGAACAAAAATAATAACGATAAAAGACTTATAGAACTATTTACAAACGATTTATAACTAAGAATTTATTTTGAATTTTAGCGCGTCAACTGTATATTTATAACTGCCCCCTGTAGGCCACGGCCGCCGGCTTTTATACCGGCAGGTAAAGAACTCTAGAATTGTCCATAGATCGTTAGGTGCGTAGAGAAGGTTTTCGAATGTTCTCGTATGTACTCGTCCATTCCAGTGGGACTCGATTCTTCTCGAACGAATGAATCATTGCGGTGTCTATGCGATGTTAAGGTCATCCGAGGGCGGGCCATATTGTGAGGTTAGGTCGAGTCCACACCGGCCCGCAACACTGCCCCCCTTCTTAGGTACATGCTCGTCCCGAGATGTATACGGTGAATGAAGGTATTTGCAAAGCTGGCCCCTGGTACATTGCGAAGTCTGGTAGAAATAGCAGTCTACAGTTTTCTCTCCCGATCTCAGCTTTGGGTTGTAGCAGCAAACGAGGATCTCGATTCCCGTAAATCTGAACAAGACTTCAATCATGTTCCGGATTGTACGCCAACTCAAACCATCGAGTCCACACGCCAGCTTCGGAATGGCTAATCGTGCAATGTTGTTGTTTAGCAGGGCTTCTCTCAGTTCAATCAGGGTCTTCCATAGATTGAGATAA